GACTAGGGCATCAATAATGTACAGGAAGCTGGGAAAAGTGTATAGGAATCTGTCTAAGAATGTGGGGAATCCAGTAACATAACAGTTGGAGTAAATGTGCGATAGTTCTGCACATCTCTATACCAATATATAGAACACAGGAAGCAAACAAGATGAATGTGCACTCTTATCAACGAAAGCAACTGAAATTTAATAGGCATTACTGAAAGCTGGTGTGATGAGATTCTGATTAGAACACAATAACTGAGAAATAGAACATATTCAAAATAAATCAATGGGAGGGAAAAGGAGTTGCATAATATGTAACGATGTGTGCACCTGTCAAGATGACCTTAATACACTGGAAAACTGGCCAAACCAAACAGAATGGGTTTCAATAGTGAAAAATGTAAAATCGTATATTCAGGTATGAAAAATCAGACATGCACAAATACTGAAAGGGTGACACTTCTGCAGACAGTATTATGTGGAAAGGATCTAGCAGTTTCAATGACAGGCTAAACATGAGTTCATAGTATGATGTAGCAGCAAAAAATGCTAATAAAATAAAATTAATTCTGCATCAACAGAAGTACAGTGTCCAGATCATGGAATTGTACAACTCAGTACTGTGCCTGCTTCTGGACACCAAAGTCTAAAAGGGTTATTGACAAGCTGAATCTTGTCCAGAAGATGACAGCTAAAATGACAGTGAGTTTTTGGAAACAGAACCTACAAGGAACGGTTGAGGGAGCTGGGTATGTTTATCTTGGAAATGAGTAGAGATTTGCAAGAGATATGACAATCATCTTCAAATATTTGATGGCTGTTTCATAGAAGCTGGAGCAAGCTTGGGCTTTTTGCTCCTCTAGGACATGGGACCTTTGCTTCGAATTACAAGGGAGATTTTGATCAAAAATTAGGATGGTCATCTTAACAGTAACAGCTATTTGACAGTGGAACATCTCTATTGGAATGTGGTGTAGCATCCTTTGTTGGAAAAAGTGGTTAGAGGGTCACCTGCCAAAGATTCTTTAGCTGTAGTCCCTGCATCAGCAGAGAATTGGCCTAGATGACTGTTGGGATGGCTTTCAGTAATGCAGTTTTGTAATTCTAATTGTTTGGGTACAATTCTGATTTTTTGTTACCATTGATAGAAGAAATAAGTCTCTGCATTGCTTAATGTGACTTATTTCCAAGGAAACATGTACACAATCTCTGTGCTTTCTTTTTAATCATTTGATTTCCAAATTCTTCCAACCACATTTCCGAAAGCTAGAATTTCATGATAACAGAATTTGATTAAGATGTTCACTGAACAATGAGCTAAAGCTTACAAAGTTTTATTTAACTGGATGAAATATTTCTAAGGAACAAAGCTATGTTTCTCCCTTGCCTTTCATTGAGATGCTAATTGTATTTAAGATTCATGGGCTATTCTTATGTTCCATCTGAACGTCCTCGATAAGGCTATGAAGGATGCTGAAGGTACACTGAATCATTTGTTCTTCACATGGCTGCCTTACAGTTAGAAAAGGCTGACATTGTATGCAAGAAAAAAGATGCATATAACTGCTAAGTAGCAGAAGCAACAGGAAGCAGGATGTGGAATCCTGTTTCAAATCTCTTGAGTTTGGATCTGCCCTCTTCCAGAATTTCCTGTGCTTGCAAGGTCCTTTCCCATTCATCCAACCCCACAGCAAACACAAAAAATGTTGCACACATAATATTACAGTATTCATTATTTGGGTATGGATGCGATTATGCCTTTCTAAAAGTACTGTATTGAAGGAAAGATAATGGAACCATTCTCTTTATCAGCAGAAAATTTATCCAGTCTGGCTAGAGATTATCTGTTGCTTGATAAAAATTAGACCTTTTTTGTAGTTGCTGTTTTCTTCAGAATTACCTCCTAAAAAGTGAAAATGTGAAATGACTTGACCACCAAGTCTTTATCACATCATAGTTCCTTCGAAAAGAGTTAAGGTCAGCTTTTAATTTAAGTGCCATAATATCTGCTCTGAGAATACATGTGCATTGAAGCTGTGGCCACATCTAACAGGCATTCTGATAAAGTTTTTAAAGATTTGCATAGACATTTTTCAAGGTCGAAATAATGTGTTTCAGTCTTAATTATATGAGGTGTTCATACATTTGAATGGACCTTTCAGCCAGGACAAAGCTGCGGATTAGTGATTAAATTGCTTTGAAAACATGATCTTTTATCTTATGATAAAATAATGACATGTAACAAGAGCTCTGCAGGCTTACTTCATATCCTTTGTTGCTATTGTAGTAGTCCTATAACATGATCCCCATTATACTGAAATGAGAATTAACATTGTTTAGCTAGCATAATCCCATGCTGTAATCATACTTTTAGAATATTAAAATGGATTTCCTTATACAGTAGTCTGAGTTGTAACTTTCTACATACAGTATTTAAAGAGATGAATAGGATTTAGCTAGGCTGTTCCATCAATGTCAGTGGAGTCATCTGTATGTGTAATTTGAGATGGGGGGAAAAGGTGATCTTGTTCAATCACCAAATCTCATTGTTCAGTGGTAAAGTATTAGATTTACTGTTACATCCTCAGGTTGATCTCCCAAAGCACTGCGATAAATAGCTTTTATATGGGGTCATTAGTATCAATATTTTCAAAAACTACATCTTTAATTTGCACCCAGTATGCTGAAAGGATATACCATTTTTATGCCATCACCATACAGTTAGAATGGCATTTAGCTCATTCTGCTTTGCTGGTATGCTGAGTTAACACTGTCAATCTGACTCCCACAACCATTGGTACCTGGAAAAAAGTCTCCACATGGCTCAATGTGACTTACTTCCAAGTAAGTTCTTGCCCAAGTAAAATCCTGCCGCACAGGATTGTGACCTGTAAGTTTCCATTAGAGTAGATATAGAAAACAATCTTTGTCCCATTAAATATGGAGAGATCTATCTATCTATCTATCTATCTATCTATCTATCTATCTATCTATCTATCTATCTATCTAATCTATCTAATCTATCTATCTATCTATCTATCTATCAAAACTCATATTCAGTATAAGAAACTGTGGCCTAAAAATTAAAGAATTATGACTCTGACCCATTGACTAAGTACTACAAATTTAGCCAGGCCCTGTGCATTGGCCAGGGAACAGTTTGCACAAGCACATTCCTGCCTAATGGGCAGCATGACAAATGGTGCTGCTTGTGTCATGTCTCTCTGATTTGATAAGGAAAAGTCAGGGTGGGCAAGCTGTCTCTCAAAGGGCTGCACATCATTATGAGCTGAGGACAGGTTCACCTGTCTTCTTAGGTGGCAAAAAAGGTAGGTGGGAAGATAGCCCCCATCCATCAAAGGGTGCAGATAATGCTGCACCCTTTGATTTCATGCAGTAAGCAGCACTTATAGTTTTGATTATACAGCTTTTGCATTCTTCTCATTCCCAATATCTGTTTCTGTTTCAGAGAGCTAAGATATCAGATAAAGTTCCCATCTGAAGAAATATCCTTTGCTCTTTCTCTGCCTACCACCCATATAGTCACAGATTTGTAGCCGTGTTGTAGGGCATCTAGCCCATTCTTCAACTTGATATAAAAACCCAGAATACTGGTATAACCCATTTTGAATAGGTTGCTGCCCTGATTCTACTTGAAGACCTCCGGCAAAGCCGCTACCCTCTTGGTTTTAAAAATTATTGCATTTTTAACTCCTCTTGCACACAGCAACCTTCTCTGAATGTTCACTTGAAATCTACAGTTTTATAATGTACACTCATTAGATAGATTCCTGCCCTCAAGGTTACAAAAAACAAACTCTCACATTTTTCTGTGCAACAGCTTGTTAAATATTGAAAGAAGGCTGTGATGTTCTTGCTCACTCTTCTTATCTATAGGCTGAACTTTTACAGTTTCTTTAATTTTTCTTTCTCAGTTTTTCTTCTTGCTTTCCACAGTGATGATAATCTTTGCCCTTTTTTGTCTGTAACTTTCATGGAATGTGGAATCTAGAACACAGTACTTCAGTCTGACTGGTGCACAATAAAGCAAAATCCTTCCTGTGACACAGAACACAAACCATGGTTCGATTAATGTGTACCCTAAAATCATATTGACCTTTTTTGTAGTTACATCACACTGCTGATTCTTAACCAACTCATTTTTTCCTTGGTTGCTATTGGGATTCCTCACTTCCAGCATGCCTAGACAATCAAAATGTGCAGTGTGGCATCAGGAGGGGGGAGGAGGGAAGTGTGTTGTGATGAATGAGTTTTCACTATACAAAGATATGGAAAAATAAACTTCAAAAAAGCAAAAAGAGTGCTGCTTATATACCTCCCCATAAGCACTTAAAGCACTGTCTGGGTGGTTTACAACTGAATTATGCAGGCTACACATTGCCGCCCCCCAGCAAGCTGGGTACTCATAGTATAGTTTATTAACAAAACTGAAGACATTTGCATCTGATGCTGTTTCCTACATTGCATACTAAGAGTGTACTTTTGCAACTAAATACATTTATGAAGTGTGAATTCATAGCTGCACATAAGTGCACATGGGTCAGGATAGGACAGTCATTTGCAGCTCACTCCTGTTTAGGCATAGAGAATTGGATCACTGACCCATCTAGTTTGGTACTGTATTACTTATTTTTACTGGCTGCATATCTCAGGGGCTTGTGAGAGTAGCCTTTCCTACTTTTGCTAGGAAACACCAGAAACCAAGCACAGGATCTTAAGCAGGCAAAGAAGATGCTCTACCACTGAGTAATGGAGCTTTCCTCTAATGTCATTGAACAAATGGTTTAGCCATTTCAGATGGAATAGTGTACAATATACTGAAATCCTCTGCACCCTTTGATTCCATGCAGTAAGCAGCATTGATAGTTTTGATTATACAGCTTTTGCATTCAGCTCCAGGTGGCCTGAAGCTTAGCTTTTAAGTGCCTCCCTCACTGATGCTTTAACTGCAGAGCTAGTTATCATCAGGTGGCTGAGATCTTACAGTTTCCTATTAAGAGACCGAATGTACAGCTTAAATTGAGCAACAAGTAGCTAAAATCTTGTTCTGCCAATCATTACAAGCCATTTACAAGGAACAGAGGAACGATGATGAAATAAAATGACATGTTGCAAGTGGGGAGAGAGGGTGGGTTCCCCCCCCCCAGTGGGAGTGTCTAAACAGCAGGGGTTGTCTGAGAGCAAACAATCCAGGAGGTGAGCCCCAAGAAGGTGACGTTGCAAATAGGTACCAGGCGTAGTTGCAAGCAGAAGAACAACACCCTTTCCAAAGATGCAGAATCTGCTCCTGTACCACAAGTTGCATCTCGCCATCCTTGCAAAGATACCCGGAGGATCCTGACGTGGAGGATCCTGCTGAGCTACCGTTCTGTCCGCTGCAGCCTTGAGGGCGTCAAACAAGGCTTGGGCCACGAGTACTTCTCCCCCCCTCCCCAAAAAATAAACAAGAACCAGGACTGAGAACAGAGAACGAATCCCTTCGGAGCTTCCCTAACGAACACGTCAGAACAAGCATTTAAGGGAGCGACAGGCTTCGGGGAACAGTGAAGCCGGAGCGCGGGAAGCTTCGCCCAGCGCATAGCCCCCGCGCCTCTCTCCCTGCCCGTGGAAGCGAGCCTTTGACTCTGCCTAACTGGACTTCCTCCAAGGTGAAGCGTGCCGAGGGGCGCCCCCTCGGGCATGGCGCACAGCCGCCTTCCTTCGTGCGCGCGTCCGCTCTCTGAGGAACGTGTTGCTCGCTTGCTATGAACTGTCCAGCAGAAAACTCCGCGTTCCCCCGTCTTCTGTTGCTCCTGCCGAAGCAACAGGGGCGGTGACAGCCGAAGCAGCAGCAGCAGCAACAGTCGGGGAACCAAGCGGGAAGACCCCTCCTTCGTTCCAGAAGACTCCGCTCCCCTCCTCGCCCTCCTTCTTCTCGCTCTTGCGGCGGGAGGGCGACGGCGTGGGCGGCGACGGCGCTGAGCGAGTGACTGAGGGGGCCGGGAGGCGGCGTCCGGGCTGGGGGCGGATTTTTTGAGCCAGGCGGGCTCCTCAGAGCAGCGGGCGGCGGCGGCGGCGGCGGCGGCTGCAGTGGCGGGTGGAGCCGGGCGGGTCACTCTGGCTCTCCGCCTGGACGCTCGCTTGGCCGGCTGGGGAGGAGACCGCTTCCCCTCCGCTCCCCAAGCACCTTTATGGACGAGCACCTGAGTCTTCTATGCTCGCCGGCCGCCCCGTCTTCAGGCAGGCACCCGAGGGGCGGCGGAGGTAGCAGCAGCAGGGCCGGCGTCAGGGCCGGCGTCGTGGGGAGCAGCCACCACAACTTGGGCTACAGTGAGCAGCCGTTCCCCGAGGGCGTGTTCTCAGGCCCCGAGGAAGGGCTGGAAGAGGAAGGAGAGGAGGAGGAGGAGGAGGCAAACGACGGGGTGCTGGAGGGTGGCATGACTGTGGTGGGTGGAGAGGACCCCCTGATCGACGAGACCCAGCACCCCCATGCTCTGCTGGGAGGAGAGCGCTATGATCATCCCATTGCCCACACCTTGCCTGCCCCCAGCCATCACACAGCGGGCAGTGGTGGCAACGGAGAGCACGAATGTTGTGAGCGGGTGGTGATCAACATTTCAGGCCTGCGTTTTGAGACCCAGCTCAAGACGTTGGCCCAGTTTCCTGAGACGCTACTGGGTGACCCCCGCAAAAGGATGCGCTACTTCGACCCACTACGCAATGAATATTTCTTTGACCGCAACCGGCCCAGCTTTGATGCCATCCTCTACTACTACCAGTCTGGAGGCCGCATCCGGCGTCCTGTCAATGTGCCCATTGACATCTTTTCAGAAGAGATTCGTTTTTATCAGTTGGGTGAAGAGGCCATGGAAAAATTTCGAGAAGATGAAGGTTTTATCCGTGAGGAACAGAGACCTCTGCCTGAAAAGGAGTTCCAGCGCCAGGTGTGGCTTCTCTTTGAGTATCCGGAAAGTTCTGGACCAGCTCGGGGTATTGCTATCGTTTCTGTCTTAGTTATTCTCATCTCCATTGTCATTTTTTGCCTGGAAACCTTGCCAGAGTTCAGAGATGACCGTGACTATGAAAGTACAGGAGGGACTTTTGGAACAGGTGTTGGACCTTTCATGACAGACATTTTCACCAATACTTCTTCTCCAGCAACGTCCATGGTATCCTCTTTCACTGATCCTTTTTTTGTGGTGGAAACTCTGTGCATCATCTGGTTCTCCTTTGAGCTGCTTGTCCGCTTCTTTGCTTGCCCCAGCAAGCCCACCTTCTCTAAGAACATTATGAACATCATTGACATAGTGGCCATTATACCTTATTTCATCACCTTGGGTACTGAGCTGGCCGAGAGGCAGGGGAATGGTCAGCAAGCAATGTCTCTTGCCATCCTCAGAGTCATCCGGCTAGTTAGAGTCTTCCGTATATTTAAGCTCTCTCGGCACTCCAAAGGCTTACAGATCTTGGGACAAACCCTCAAGGCCAGCATGAGAGAGCTGGGCTTACTCATTTTCTTCCTCTTCATTGGAGTTATCCTATTTTCTAGCGCGGTCTACTTTGCAGAAGCAGATGATCCTAACTCAAGTTTCAGCAGTATTCCTGATGCCTTTTGGTGGGCTGTTGTGACCATGACTACAGTGGGTTATGGGGACATGCACCCCATCACTATTGGGGGCAAAATAGTGGGGTCTCTCTGTGCCATAGCTGGAGTGTTGACCATTGCCTTGCCTGTTCCTGTGATAGTCTCCAACTTCAATTACTTTTACCACCGGGAAACAGAAGGTGAAGAACAAGCCCAATATATGCATGTTGGAAGCTGCCAGCATCTCTCCTCCACTGAAGAGCTAAGGAAGGCGCGTAGCAATTCCACTCTCAGCAAGTCCGAGTACATGGTGATAGAAGAGGGAGGCATTAGCAACAGTGCGTTCAAGCAGGCTGGCTTTAAAACAGGCAACTGCACAGCCACAAACAATCCCAATTGTGTGAATATTAAAAAGATCTTTACCGATGTTTAAAAGACACCTTTCCAGAGCATATATATAGAATATATATATATTAAAATATTACAGGAGGTGTGCATAATCAGTATTGTGAGGAACATGCACCATCGTCAGTCTTTGTGCTCTTGTTTCATACATGTACTTTTTCTGGTCCTTCCTTCTGAAGACGGGGATTTTTAGAAGGTAAAAAGAATCAAACAGATGTTGGGAAAGAAGACAGTTAAGAGGATTCAAAGACGTACGTGCGTGCTGCTCCCTCTCCAAACAGGTTTTTTGTTTGTTCTGCACTGTTTGTTTCAGGGCTTTGGGCTTCTGCTGGGAAACGTGTTTTGTCTGGTTTTGCAAAGACCAGCTCTATTGCTGATCCCCCTCCCTGCATATATGCACTTGTTGGATGGAGAATTATGAACAGAATGATATTTCACACAGTAGGGAAAGCGTATAGAACAATCTGAATTACACAAAGCATCTCTGCCATAACACAGTGCCTACTGCTGAAACATCTGATGGATCCCACGAGGGGGAAAAATCTTGATTTTTTAAAAAATGCCAGGTTAAACACCCTGTGTGGAGTCAGAATCTTACAATAGGGCAAATGTCATTTTGATGTAACGAGAAAATGCCTCTTCTGTGATTCTGCATTTCTTTGGTCCACAGATATCAACAAATTGTTTCCTTGAATCTGAAATTATACGTGCATGTTATAGTGGAAAAATACCTGTTCTGCATTATAAGGGATAACAGTTGACAGACTGGAGCATATCATGGTCATTTGGTGTTCTGCATATCATGAACAGCTAGACTCCTAGGAATTCACTGATGGTCTTTTTGCAGTTAACTGTAGTCTCAGTTAGAAACCTTAGAAACAAAGGGGATATTTCCAGCCATTTTGAATTCAAGTAAGATAAGCAGTTGCGTCTCTCACAAGAAGATTAAAGTGCAAACACGCCTTGCAGCGGAAGTTACTAATTTGGACCTGAGTGATGCAGTTTCCATAGCAATTTGGTTTCCCAGGAAACTCCCAAAGGTTGTCATGGCATCCATTCTCTCCCTCCCTCCCTCCTTCCCTCAGTCCTTTGCTGTTTCCATAGTAACCATTCCAGATGGTTCCAACTTCTGTGGTTCCACAGAAAAGCCTTTGCTCTTATAAATCACATACACACATACACAGCCACAGAGACAGCATTAATCCCAGAGAGATTTAAGTGTAGAAACAAAGCATTATTCTATATGCATCGTTTTTTTGATATGGAACATTCCAAGTTCTGGGACTTGCAGGCTCAAGAAGAAAAGAGATAATATGGAATAGTGTTGATTCTTCTGCACATTATAACAGAATGAAAACAACAGTAACCCTGCTGTCATAGACAATAGCCATAACCACAAGCATCTAAACCCTGCTTGCAATTTGATACCTGAAACAGAAAATTCATCCTGTCTGTGATAGCTACACAACTGCATAGAACACTGGAAAGATGGCACCTTCCTCTGTCTTTCAGAACAAACCATACATTAATTCATGGCGCATGACCTAGTTTTATGCAAAATATTCCCCTCTTTCAAAGCACAACAAGGCATTGAAGAACATGGCTATAAACATTTGTTACAACTGGATTCAAATCTGGAGAAATAAATACTGGGATTGAGAAGTACGTAAAAACCTCTGGGGGAATGTGTGGTTATCTTCTCTCATCGCCACATCTGGGTCCATGGAATATCAGACAGATACAGGTGAGCTCATCACTGCTGTAAGAAGAGTCGTTCTTACAAAGAAACATGTTGCTATAACATATCAGTAAAACTGGATACAGATTTAAAACAAGAACCTTATGGGGGTTCTTTTCTAACACAACTTCAACGAATTTAGAATTTTTATTTGATTTTAAACTACTTCTAGTTGCTCTCCTCAGTTCACTTATTGTGAAGTAGTTATGTTGCCCTCTGTTTTGGAATGACAAGAAAAGCCCTGATTTGAGTGTAAGAGGCCTCCAGAGTTAATAAGCGGATATATGCCTTTATTGAAATTCAGTATGATTTGAAATGTTAGCCACAAGTGCTTTACTGAAATGTGTTTCAGTAATATACTATGCAACTTGATGCCTGCTCTTAATAACAATGCAGAGCTGCATGTTTGTGAATCATGCCAGTAGTGAGCTCTTGGTTCAGCAAGGCACTTCCTTGCCTCCTTAAATCTTGTGAAACAAAAATGTGCGACAGTTATGTACAGATTTTGGACATTCTGCATTTTAAAAAGTGCTTTAGACAAAAATACATTGGTGCTGAAGAAGGGAACGTTTTACTGGCTCAGATTATGTTTCTCATTATAGAGTTCAGAACTTTGTAGTAGCCTATGTGTTCATGGCCCTTGAATACAATTGCAAACTAACAAATGGTGATATCTCTGGATCTCATTCCAAAGTCACATCTACTTTTCATTGCTAATCAGCAATCAGTAATTGCACGGAGAGAAATAACTTGGCTCAGTCTTGAGCTATTTGTAGCACACTCTGTGGAGCTGCAGTTTAACCTTGTAATTTTTACCATCTGGGGACTGGGCTAATTAGTGTCTGTGAGGTGCAGGGCTGTGCCAGCAGAATGGGTCACAGTATTTTCCCTGTATGTGAATTTTACCTTGCTATGAATTTGGCTTGAAAGAGGCAAAAAGAAAGAAAAAATAATAGTCATAATAATTAAGATGTTGTTTTCTGCTTTTTCACTTATTTGTAGAAAGAGTTAAATCTCAATTTTCATCTCTTTTGGCTTATTATCACAAAGCTTAATTATGCCTAGTGAGCTCTATTTTTTCTTTTTTATTATTTGATTTTTTTCCCCATTTGTGCAGCAGACCCTCTCATCAGTCTTATAATTACTGATGCTCATGTGTGAATGCTGTTGTTTATTTAGCCAAAGTAGAACAGTTCACACAGATGAGGGAGGTATAAGCAAGCTTGGGAACCCCATTATTTGCAGAAATTCCCCGCCCTCCCACCCAATTTCCTAAGGAAAGGAACAGTCCGATAGAGGCAATGTGTGATTAGCAGTCCTAGAATTCTGTTAAGGTGAAACCAATGTAATGGTGAATAGGGTAGAAAATGGCATGACATTTCAGCTAGAATACTGGTGGAAACACGTCCACATTCATTACATTCATTACAACTTGTACTGGTCACAAAATTGCTTTTGAAATTCTTGGTTCCAGAAAAGATTTGCTGTGTGACAAGAGGACGTTAAATTAGGCAGAGCTAATTGCACTCTTCTTTGCATCTAGGCCATTATGAGTAAGAACTGTCTGCCATAAGAATTTGTGAGGCACATTATTTTGCTATGCCTTACAAGTTTTTGTTTTACGTGTTATGTTGAAATGAGAATCCAAAAAGACGATTCTTTCCCATTTCATTATTACCAGCTGAGATGTTATGAATATACACCTTGCACAGGAGAGACTTGCTACAAAGAGTCCAGGGATAATGTAAAGATACGGAAGTGTTTTTCTCTTAAAGGACAGGAGATAAGGTGACGCTTAGGTACATGGTATTTGAGTTTGCTGTTTTTAAGCTACGACAGTAAGGAAGAAATCATAATTATAAGAGTTGAGAATGGGACTTTCCAAGCCATTGTTCATCCTATGAATCAAAGTCTGTAAATGACTCAAGAGTATCACTTTCAGTGATGTGCCTGTCCTTAAGCAAAAAGGGAGGACATTATTTTTAAAACTGTGCTACTTCCTCAATGTGGCTGTTTCGGTCTCGTTAGCAGCATATCTGCAGATGGCTTGCCAACTCATTGCTGTGAAAGTTCTCCTGTTCTCTTTAATGCTGATTTCTGCCTCTCTCTGTTTGTATATTTTACATATATGTATAAATACTTAGAAATTATAAAATAATTAAAACAGCCGCAGTAGTTTAAACGCTGAATAGCGAGGAATGAAAAATTAGTTAGTCCATAATACTTTCTAATAGGTAATATAAACAGTAACTTAAAGGCCTTCCTAAAGGAGAATGTCTTGATTAATTTTCCAGAATATATCTGCATTCAGGTCATGACTGAAAATCCCATCAGCCCCAGCCACATGGCAAGTGACAAGGCTTGCTGGATGTTGTAGTTCACAACATCAGTGCCATATTGAGGAAGACTGGACTATTACATGGAGAGACCCAGACAACTGCTGTCCTCATTCTGTCCCCTCCACCCTATAGCAGTAGTTCCCAGCCTTGTCCCCAGATATTCTTGGACTACAGCTCCCAGAAATTTTGGCCAGCACAGCAAAACTCTAGGATGGGCACTCTCACTCCATCCCCATTTCAAGAGAAGATGTGGGACTTTTAAACTGTGTTTGAATTGTAAGCCCTTGGAGGAGGTACTTAAGTCCAAAAAGTGGCATATAGGTAGTTTTAGCACTGTGACCACTTTGCATCACCACCAACTGGCCAAGAATTTGAATTATCAAAGAATAAATAAAGAGCTGATGAGCAGCACAAATGCAAGATTCAGTTCCACACATGGAGATGGAGCATCGAAGATAAAGTACCCTAGTGAGGTAAGCAAGGGAGAGGGTGGGGAGCATAACTAACAGGGTGGGGAGCATGACCCATCATTTGATACCTCCACTTCTCCCACCATGCCTCCCCACAAGATAGACTACAAGATAGACTAATGGGCGTATAAAGTAGAATCATAAATGACCACAGAGCATTTCCTATCGGTCTCTGGAAAACTGTTGTCTTAACAAACAACAACAACAAAGCAAGACTTTACTCAAGAGTTGATAGCAGTGTTTTTTTTTTTCCATAGGGGACAAAAGAGGTGCATGCTTTGTGTAGAGAAAACAGAGCTGATCCAGCACAGCAGTAAACCCAGGCATATAATTCTACCTATTGCCACTGCTCACCAAACCACATGGTGTATTTCCTTTTGCCAGATCAAAGCCATGCCACATGGAGCAGAACAAACAAAGCTTCAGCCAAGCATTCTACCAAGTAGAGGGGATGGGTGAGTATTATTGTTCCAAACATACATGTCAGAAGGCCTGCCAGTTTGGAGTGGGGAGCTAAGCTGAAGCATGCCGAACGGAAGAGTGTCTCTTGATAGCATTCCTCCTCTCAGGACTGACTGGTTTCTGCTGTTCCCCCTTATTCCACACCATCCCATGCTTCTCTTGTCTCCCCACAGGCAACCAGGCAGTGGTTCAGTTGTCACCGAGGTAAGGGTGGTTCCCATCCCCCAGTACCAGGCAGAGCACAAGCAAGGCCTACAGCAAGCAGGAACACTGACCAAAGGGAAACCCAACTGTGCCTCTATGGAGTTGCAGTCTTCATGCTCCCAGGATTGCTGTTTCTTTCCACAGTGTCTGATAGACAGTAATGTAGCAGGTCTAACTCTAACCCGTGTGGTGATGCAGTAATGAGGAAACCTGCATCTCTTGCTCTTACATATCTCCGGTAGCTTTCAGAGGCTCAAGGACCCTAAAAAGCATACAAAGGCAGCACCTCCCATTCCTTCTGTTGCAGTTGGAATTCATTCTGCTACTGATACCATTCAATAAAAGCTGTGACATTGTGAAGCTGTGTTTCAGATTTGTCTGTCTCAATGTTGGATGGTGGGTAGGGAAACATTCCCTTCCTCCTTCTGTTATTCTCCTGAGCTGTGCCCATGGTAGGGGGGCACACACACATTAGGAATGGGAACGGTGAGTTCTCCAGTAGAGTGCCCCACCGGCTTAGAAGACCTGCATGTTGCCTTGCCCTTGAAACAGATCCTTGTAGATGCTGCAGCCTGTCAAGGACCAGGTTGTGGAGCAGAGTGGAGTTGATGAGTATATAATAGGCCAGGACCCTGGGAGACTACAGTTGTCCTATCATGAGGTTTTCCCTGTGCTGCTGTGGGTGGTAAATTAAAGTTTTGCTCTATGAAGGGGTGGCCATGAGTTCTGACTATTTCAAATTATAGTTCTTAGCAAATTGGCTGTGGGT